GAAGCTTTCATTGTTTTTTTTGGACAACAATATCAACTACAACTTCAATATGAAGTGAGCTATCAGTAATTTTCCCTGTGCAGCTCACCCTGGCGAATTTGTTTTTGGTCGGTTATTTCCTTTGATTGCCGTGTCACTGACTGCGTAGATTTTTCAGTTGACTGTTTCTCTACCTGATAAATAACTTCGCAGTTGTTAATCGTTTTTCTAATTGTTTGATGGATTTGGTCCATATCTATACATCTATTGATTGCTGACTGACCTGAATGCCAAGAGTCCAAGAATTCTGATATTCTTTATGTTCCCTCTGTTAAATAGTTCTACATTTTCAAAGTTGAACTAATGTCCACAGTATTCCACGTACGTAAACATGACCAACGAAATTTCGTGATGTTTAATAGCCAGTTGGTGTTCATGTAAACGAAGTCGAAGAGGAGACCACTTTTTCCGATGTAACGGTGATCACAACTATTGCAGTTGATTTTGCAAATGATATTCGGTATGTCTTCCTTGGTTGTTGCTTCCTTTGGTCTATATAATATGGTTTGAAGAGAATTTTCTGGTCTATGAGCCACACCAATTGCAAGTGGTCACAGTACTCTCGTCATGATCTGTGACACAATCTTTATATACGATATATATATATATATATATATATATATATATATATATATATATATATATGATCCATTTGTTGACTTCTGTCAATGACTTTGTAGTTGGTGACACACGGCATACGCATCTTCTGATAACGTTTCGTGAGTAGACGTTTTTTCAGGGTAAATATCAAGTAGTTTTTTTCTTTCTTCGTGAAGTTGTTGTACTGTAGTGTTTTCGCTCTTTTGAATAGAGTTTGTACGCAACCTATTTGATGAGCTAATGGGTTGTCGCTACTGTGGTTGAGGATTTGATCACTGTATGTTGACGTCACCAACACTCGAGTTTCCGGTTTTCCGCATTTGTCCTACTGACTAAAACATCCAGGAATAACATTTGCTTGTTCCGATTTTTCTCCATTGTGAATTTGATGTCGCTGGAAATGTTGTTGATCAAACTGCAGGTTTTTTAATGATAACAAAAGTATCATCCGCATGACGGATCCGAAATTTGGTTTGACCACAAGTGAATTGATGGCCTCCAGTCTTTGGATTAATGCTTTGGCAATTAATCTAGATATTAATGATCCACTGGAGTTCCTTTTATCTGTTTCCATATCTTACCTTGAACTTAGCAGTATGTTATCAAACATAGATCAACGAGGTACATCAGTCTTGAACACTGAAGTTTTATGAGTTTCGAAAGCCTTAAACCTAGGTTGCGTATTTTTTGGAATATATAGGTAAAATACTTTAACAGTTTTGATAAACCACACAATTTTTACAACACTTAAATGGGTATCAGCCAGCTCTGAAGTCGGAGACTGCACTGTTAATTTTCTTAGGTAACACTGGATCCGTGTACACCTGAATTATGCACGGTAACTGGTAATTAGATGGTAAATGATGTAGTCATCAAGTTTTTAGGGATGACTGAAGTTTATCTATCAAATTTTCACCGTAGTCACTAAATCGAATCGAGCTGCACTGTGGCACAGTATGCCTACTGTTAGTAGTTAGAAATTCTTGAGTTTAGGTTTTACTCCCCATACCTGACATTAAAAAATAGGGAATTACAGTCTCACTTTATTATTTTAGCTTACTGATCGCATATGGAAATTAATCGGAAAACTGTAGTCCTTACTAAAGACCTGATATATATACCCATTGCTAGACAGTAGCCAATTCATGTGAATCGCCTCGTTTCTCACATATTCTCATCAGATGTTTAGATGAAATTAATATAGCTTATTGAGATGAATTCCCTTCCTCAGTTATCTGACCATTTCCTTCATATCACAGTCTGAAGATTCATAGAAAATTTATCATGAGGTACCTGAACAGGTTACGTTATTCTTTTATTCGATAAAATAAACTGGTAAAGTTCACGAAGAGATTATCTATTCGATGAAACAGCGAAATCTTATTAAATGAGGAACCTCTCACGTCAATCTAATAGCCTATAATTACTAGTCAGATAAAGGGAATATTGATTTCTATTGACGGCGATTACAAGACTGATACACACCAGAAAACAATGTAAAATGGAATTAAAGCATCATTAAGATACATCATCAATTTATGCATTGTAACCTTGGCAACTATAAAATATGTACAGCTGACTTTAAAAGGTATCTTCGCATCAACCTTTTTTAATGTGTAATTTACTTCTTCTATGTTATACTGATTAACATAGTACACTGTATCTAACTTCAAATTGATCAATTTTAGAGTCATATGATTTTGAGTATCGTTTGGAAAATAATGTTCCTCATACAACCTTCAAATTATTCATTACCTTCCTTTCAAAATGAGAGTATGAATTTGCCTTTAAAACATACTGACATGAAATTCAGCAATAAATACTTCTCTAACTATGAGTAGAGCGGCATTTGTAAATATACTTTTTCATGTGGATTTAAAATGTATCAAAGAGTTCGCTTTATGATTTACTTGTCATCCAGTATTTTTAATTCGTTGTAAAATGTCAAGTAACCAAAAGAATGTGCTTTTACTAAAAAATTTTTAGAAAGGAAACAATTTTTGCCAAAAATGCAAATTTTGATCTCTTACTAAGTGTAAAGTTTCTGTAAAACAATTTGTAAATTATTTTGAAATGGTGGAGAATATTTGTAGTTCAGGAGGAGGATTTTATGGTGCTACGTTCTGTGAGGTGGGTGGTCTAATTGTGGAGCTTTCAACATCCTCAGCACAAAATTCAGAAAGAAGTGGGCTATGAGATTTTCATCACAAGTGGCTTATTAGCTTGTCTTGATGGCCTCGTGTCTGATCGGTTGTTTCTGCCAACGTCTTGTCATTGTTTGGGTATTCATTCCAATTGGTTTTCCTGCTGAAGTGAACTTTGACCTTCTTTTTGATTCTTATTGGTTGATTAACTAGGTCAATGTCAGTATATATGTTGATCGCTGAGCGGCATGAATGTTAAGCTGCTAGAAATCCCCTGGCATTCTTTTTTTCCTTTATCCATGATTTCCACATTTTCCCAGTCAAATTCATGCGCACAGTTGTCTACAAGCATTGATATGAGTGAAGACATATCATTACTTACCACTACTAGTTGATGTTCAGAATCTAACAAATGTAAGCGCCATAAAAGTACCGACTATTGATACGTTCAGATTTCTCAGCGTAGACAATATTAAATCAGAAAAGGCGAAAACGATAGGAAAGTTTATTTTACACTACAACTGATGGTAAACTGAGCAAAAATCTGTTCTGATAATGTAGTCTACTTCTTAGCTAGCAGCAGAATCCAGGAGGCGCGTTCCATACTTTATGTGACAAGTCACTCAGATGTACCGGCACCCCACTGAGACTCGAATGCACTACCCATCTGTCTAAACGCCAAAGCTTTCGTGCCCCCAGTGGATAACACTTTGGCCATTGATGTTTACTGGATTTGAATCACATTGAGAACAGCATCATTCACCGGGGTCCAGGTACATCCAGTTGACGAGTCCCGAGCAGGACAAAACGCACTTCCTGGATCCCACTGCTGGCTACCAAGTAAACTAAAATATCCAGGCAATATCGGGAAATCTCCTTAGAAGTCCATTAAGCAGTCCGACGCAGTATACCAACGGGAAATGTCTTAAGATAAATTATTCGTAGTACAGGCCGGTCAAACTAGATGAGCAATTTCCCATGCGGTTAAAAAATGTGAATACTGTAATTGCAGAAAATCTAAGCCTCTGATAATTCTAGGTTGCATTTTATGGGAATTATACTACTTCCTAAAAGATTGAAATTTTCTCTTTTTTTCATTTAGATGTAGAGAATGTTAAACCTCCCGGTGACAGTACTGTGCTTAATTTGATATTTGAATACCTCCTGTTACCATAGGTTAAAAAACAACAGCTTCAAAGCGAAAATACGGATTCTTCAAGTAATAGTAAACGTTTCTTGGATATCTTATTGAGTTTCCTACTTTTTTCTGAGAAATATTATTGTTAGTTAGTTGATTACTACAGCCAAACGGTTTAATTGACCAGCAGTTCAAAAATTCCTAATAGTCGATAATAAACTAATCACTGAAAGATACACTCCGGTTGGTTGATACTTGTCTTAACCCTCTTTAGTATCTAGAAATATGACAGTCGCCTCTCTTTATGAAATTATTTCTCACCTGCACGAAGTAGCAATGAGTGATACTGCCATAACCAAATATATCACTAATCGTTTGCCTCACAGCAAGGGTCATATTTATTGTTTCAGGGTGGAGACAATAGGCAACTACGCGAAATTTGGTAAGTGGCACTCATGATCCACGGGTTAAAAGTCCGGTGTGTCAATCATGGTCCGGAGCACCAGTGTAGTTGCTCCACAGGTTGGATGGCATACTGGTCTGGTTTGAAAAGGATTGGATGAATGCTCAGTGCTCTTGAAAACCAGCATGCAATTGCTCCGGGATACTATGTGCACATCATTGTGTTAATGCCTGCATTACCCTTAGGCTTTCCTAGTAAATCCATTCTATTAAAACTTAGTGACTGAATTTGACAAGAAAGCTTAGACAACCAAGTGGCTCAATGGTAACGTGCTGGCCATGGAACCTGAAGGTCCTGGATGTACACTACTAAGGATTCCCATACCAGGAAGAAACAGGTTTCCAGTGCCCCAGGTTTACGATGTTTCCACAACCAATGTGAGTCCATGATGAATACCAACCTGAAAAAAGATTAGGTCACACACAGACTCAGTAGAAAATGCACCTTTCTACATCACCCTAATAAATGAGATTCGACCTAACTATTGACTAAATCTCTAGTTCTCGGCAAAAGCACTTTATCTGCTGATTCTATGTGAATCATCTGTTCACAGTAAATAACTGACTAAACCAATTAAGCATACAGCAGACAGTTAAGTTACAGAATAATTTCAATTAAAGATTTCATAGCCAGCTAACTTTGTTTTTTTACTGATGTGGAAAGGAGTCATTTGAAAGGGATAACCATTACCATGTTGAAATTACACGAAATGAAAAATAAGCCTTTTGTAATACATTCATTGTTTTTTTTTAGGTTGACTCATAAATAAATAATAAACACAGATTAAAAAGAAAATTAGAATATAGGATGAATGCAACATAATTAAAAAATTAACCCAAGAAAGCATATAATGCAGAATTTGAACATTCTTGTGCAAACGCACAGTAGGCAATAAAAAATTCTAGGTATAAAACAAAATTTGGAGGTGTATACATGCACAAACACTATACAGATCGTAATGTCTACCCAAGTAGTAAGTTTTAGTGATTCACCGAAATGATAAACATTCATTATATGTTACCTGCCCTCATCTTATATGGACAGCAAAATCAATCGATACGAGAATCGGGAGGAAACATTTGTTTAAGAAATGATGATAAAGAACCAATGTAATGGTATTCTGGGTAGGGTGTCATTTTATGTGGATTGTTACCGTTTAACAGTCGACAGATGGAGGTGAACTACAACATACGATACAGTGGTTGAAAGTACTAAATGTAACTAGCCATATCTCAACAGGAATTACCATAACGACCCAAATTCAGCTTTAGAAAAGTTATATTTTCTAGACAGTACCTAGGAAGGTATGCAACATTATATGTTTGCAGCTTTCTTTGATGAACACTATTTTGGATACATCGGTACGAAAAACTGAAATACTTTTTTGAATATTACTTATACACTTCACGCAATTGTCAAAATCCTTACCTGACTGCTCTCATAAAAGTATATTAACTCTTACTCCACACAACTCTGCGGCAGTGTGTGTAGTTGCACTTATGAAACTTCTTACATTAATGGAGAGGTTTAATCCTATAGTACATTAATGACTGTAGTTGAAACAGGATCTGGATCACGACAAGACTCGTATCAGCGACCTAGAAATAACTAATCTAGCACTGAACTTTAAAAAACGATTGTACTATCAAGTTGTAATGTGAATACCCAACAATAAAGCAACTTTTATACTAAATTGTTATTCAACTTTACCTAAACGAGGCGAAAAATTAAATAGAAACGTAAAGCAATCACAAATGCATACACCTAAATACAAAGATTATTATCTTTGTATAAAGGAGAAATTAAATGCATAAGGAAATAATGGTTTTTGCTTTTAGAGATGAAAAGAATAGTTAAAACGACTGAGAAAACAGACTTTTTGGTATACACGAAAATGAAAGCAAGTATCAAATTAGAAATAAAAAAACAATGAATGACGCAATAACAACCATAATGTCTATAGTAATAATAACAAAAACATTATATTGCACACGATAATCAGAGAAGTTAAACGTATTTCAAGATACTTAAATCCCAATATATGTATTCATCTAATAAATGCGGTAAGACACTAATATCAATGTAAATACAAAAAAAAATTAGTGCTGACTAAGCCGAATGATATCAGAATAAACGTATATTATATGCTGTGCTGGTATCATTAGTACTACTCTTCACTGAGAGGGAAACTGTTCACTAATTAGAGAAAATCGTAAAGGTAAAGGGATGAGGTTAAATAGTAGCAAACATGAATATTAAGGTTGTGAAACAATTGAATGATAATATATTCGCTAGTTATAGAATTAAGCAGTTCTAGGAATAATGAAGGAGAATTATTTCCTTTTTCAACAATGTTCCATTCACCATGTATTGAGCTGAAAGTGAAATTTCTACTATTCATATTATGTATTTTAAAAAGAGGAGAACAAAATTAGCGAAGAAAATAAAAAAAGAGAGAGAAGTAGTTGTATAAGTTAACTAAATTTCAAAATCATCAAAACTATTGTCTTGATGAAAAACACCAACACCAGGGAAACTAGTAAATCTTTCAGTTGCATTGTTTGAAGTAAATTTATACGCAGGATTTTCATAACCACTCATTTGCCAATCATGTATTACATCACCATTGTGTTTTCCTATTGATGTTGGTGTTTTACCACGTAAACGACTTTGTCTTACTGGTAAAAATTCTGGTGAATGATTTACTTTTGGTGCAATAACTTCATCAACTTCTACAACTGTCAGTGTATAACCTTTACGATTATATCGAATTGAATTGAAGTAACGACGTGTAACTAGAAATAGACACGTACAGCCAAAAATTATTCCTATAATAATTAATGAAATATACGCTGACTTATTAACTGGAATTTGCTTTGAGATATTCATAAATGATAAAACTGATGCATTGTTTGTCAACTGCGTTGAATTTAACTAAAAAAATGAAAAAAAGTATACATAAATGAGCATGTAGTGACAGGATGAAGTTGTATGAATTACAGCTTTTGTTGCAAACGCACAAATAGATGTAGAACTGACTTCGGTTACCACACATTACACCAACAGGTAAAAAGAAGCCGGCAGAAAAAGGTGGTAGACTAGTGTGAATGAGAGGAGGAAGAATAGAGATGGAGGTGAGAAAAGTGTTCAAAACTTTGAAGATGACAATGAGTGTAAACGCAAATGCTCTTTGACCGATTTTCAGCTAGGTCATCAAGGGTATCCAACCATTGATTTCTATCACCTCGAAGACCCCAGTGAGACAACTTACACTTCACCACACAGCTAAGACAAACAGTCAAAGGCTTCGTACACTGCTCTTACGTCTTTGTCCGCTTACCCTTAGTCTTTTACCAACCGAATCCTACTTCGGTTATTATTGAAGGCCAAGGTAGGCAGTGGCTCGGTATGCAAATGTGTCTAAGTCACCTTAATCAGTGAAGATCTACAATTTCATCAACAGGTTTCCCTTTCTTGTCTAGTATCATCCACCTAGCCTTGACATTTTTCAGACAGTGATTACATCATGCGCAAGAAATGCTACGAAGACAGTGTTGAGAGAAATCCTGTGATTTCTTTGTATCCTCTAGTTCCCATAACCATATATAGCAACTGTATAACAGGACAGAGAGCACTGCTGCACATAACACAGGTCTTTTGATAGGTAGCTGGGTGCCTTACGCTGGAAATGATGTTATTTGGTAAATGACGAATGGACATTTTTTTCTCCAAATTGAGATTTAGTCAGCAACCAGCTCGTTCGCTTTGGTGCAACTCTCCAAGTAAGGGAGGTGATCACCGCACTCCACCATATCACTCTATCCTTAGAGAGGGAGTCAGGGTAGACCAGTGTCTTAAGGCATCATCTACAATCTGACAGGTGCAAAACGCACACCAAACGCATTCAGATTTCTGTTTAATGCGTTCGGAAAACTTTTCAGTTTGTCAACTCCTTCGTCTAACAAGACTCTATCGTCTGTGTACTTCAGTTCAACTGAAAGTAAGTCAAACCCTGTAGTGGAAGGCACCAACAGTTACACATACATAGTAGCGCATCTATAACATAGCTGAACAAGAATGGTGACAGTGGGCATCCGTGGTGAAAACCAGTGGTCGTCTTTACTTCAGACAACCCCCCAGACCCACCCCCTCCGTCCCCGATGAAGTACTCAGATGGCTGCATGGGTCCGAATAAAGAGTATTGATTAGCTTTAGAACAAACTTAACGACTAGACATCAAGATAATACCTCCTGGTTAACAGATTCAAATGATGCTTTCAGGTCGAGAAAAATGACTTTGCTACAGACATTCAACATTATGCAATATCAATTACAATAGCAGCTACCGGTAAGTCATCAACTTTTATTGAATGTCATACAGGCACGGGCTAACTATCAGAATGAGGTTTTACTTGAATCACTTAAAACACTGTCGTGCTGTAGCAGCCTGCATTATTAATTTGAGCAGAAATGAAATTCTACCTATTTATGACTCATTCATCTTTTTGTTCATATATCCACTGTAATGATAGGAAGTTTAATCTAAGAATTTCTAAATTTTAGAATGATTGCAGTCAGCTAACCTATATGGAATGTGAAGTGAGATAACAGACATTAGTAAACGATACACAAAAAGATGGAAAAGATTATATTCTCCCCGTGAAAATAAGAATGACCATCTAGTGCCACACCCTTGTCATACGTTATATTTTAATAGTAGCTGTAAGTATATAAACTAAGATTACATGTACACAATGAGACTGCAATTCAATGAGGAAACTGTAGTCACGAAAATCAGAATATTTTCATCTTCCAGTTTGTATACATCACGCGAATCGAATCGAAATCGAAATGCAATTAGCAACCTTGTGCACATTTGTGCACTAGGCAACGATCCACACCTGTTGTATGAGGGCTAGCGATACTACCCGGTTGCCTAAACCTCGGTAAGTGGAACAGGGCTCGAAATAGTGGCCTATCGGTTGATAGGTCACCTCCACATATATCATGCATCCAACACTGATATTTGACTACCTTTAAAATATAAATATGAATATGTACAAGGGAACTGAGATTCTAAAACGACAAAAATGCCTTAGGCAAAAAGAATGCATTGAGACAATATATACAAATGATAGATATGATAAAAAAAGGGGCCAATACCTTCGAAGATACATCCACAAGGATCAATAATAGCTTGATTATGTTTATATTTACTGATTAACCTTTGATTACCAAGCCTTCAAGGCGTACTTAACATAGTCAACTATGAAATTCTAAATTTAACTAGCGGTTTTATACCGTCTTCATTGAATCGCATAAACACTGCGAAAAACATAAATTTACAGAGTGGAAAGGATGAAATACATATAGGATACATGAATACATACCACAATAGTAGCAGGCTTCTGATTTGGATTATATTGTACTTTCGTTTTGTTGTCCATATTCTGATCATTGTTAGTATACGATGAATTTTCTGTCAAACGTGATGTATGAAGTGAATAATCAACAGTGTTTAATATTCCTTCTTTAGCATCAACGAAGTTGCCAATACTTGGAGTAGTAAGAGTCATTTTCATATGATGCCAATTAGAATAGCCTATAATAAAAATGGAAAACAACAATGAGATTTTACCACAAGTCTGAATATTTTCCAAAAGCTGAAAGCACAATGATCTTAGCAACTTTATTGAACATTTCGATGACATGAGAATAGTTTATATCATGAACTAGAATTCGACTTCATGCAGTCGTGAAAGAGATAACGAGTCTCACATTAAAAATATACATACATCTAATCGCTTTATGGTTTTTAATGTCTCTAAAGTGGATGCTAATTTGTGACAGATAAAATTTACAAACCAACCGATGATATAATAACTCGTGAGCTCAGAACGTTTTCTTCAAAAGTTCGAATCGGCTGAGCACGCAGTATAATAATGGAGTGATATACAACCGTCTAGCCCCGTTTGTGAATTGTAATCACACCTGAATACGATTACTTTGCATTAAAAATGCGACCTACATAACTTGTACAGCAAACGGTGCAAGATACTTAAAGCTAATTCACACAGCTGACCCTGCCGAACTTAATTCCATTTCAGTTGATTCATGAAATGTATCACAGTGAAACAATATTTTCTACCGTGTATGGGAATACATTCTACGACAGTGACAAGGTTTTCACTTATCTATCAAGTCGACTCAACTCGGAATAGATGGAATAGCTGTCTGCTGCAGTTCCTCGTTTTATATTGACTTCCTTTACAGGTCAAAGAATATATTGGAAAAGAGAAGGTACTTTACAGCCTTTAGTTATAAGCTATACGGATAACAAAGAACTTACGGCTAATAATGGGCTAGTGTCAATCGCTGATTGTGCATCTTCTAAAAAGACGAGAAATACGTTTTTGGTAATCAGAGAGAAATCAGTCTGAGATTCTAGGTCCTACAATCATTAGATACTTAAGTGAGGCTCGTGCAACTCTAAGTCCGGAGAAACCATGCAGATTTCACACCTCGTCATGGGTTCATCGATCAGACAGATATTCACTCTTTGTTAGATCTTGAAATACAGACACTTATAGGTGCCGACAACAGCCGTAACTTTTGACGTGAAAGTGACTTTATACTCCATCAACAGAGAGATTTATGACAGCTCTCTACTGAAACGAGTCCTGGCTAAATCTCTCTCTTTTTTACGACACCCATGGGTGCGTTAGAATCAATGGTGAGGGAAAAACGAACTGTTTACGTCAGGTGGTGTCCGGTTACTAAACTTCTGGTCCTAGACTAAATTAACAGAGAATATTGGAATAGAGTAACCTTCAGTTTAACACTAACTCATGAAGCCCTTCAACTAGTACTGTGAATTTAGAAGGAAATGAAGAATAGTTAGTTGTGCTCTTGGATAGCTGGATCTGATAACCAAAGGTGCTTAAAAAGAGCAAACAAAACCTATCATAGTGACACTAGAAGTGCAGCAACCTACTGATCTGCTCTCATCCACTACTAGCTACTTATCTGCTGCTGAAACTTCTTGACTTCTTTGAGAGATGACATTAAGTGTAGGAACTTTAACTGATGCGCTGGCATCTTGCCTCATTCATTCATTCCAAGAAGAACAGCATTTTCATCACTATCAAAAGGTAAACATACAAAAGGAAATCTACATATAGAAATTGAGATGATGAATGATTAACTTATTAGCACTGAAGGTATATCAGTAAGAAGCTAAAACTTGTGTATATACAGTAGTATTTAAACGATAAAAAAGTGAATTATAATCTACAAGGAAGTGTTTGGGCATTTTTTTTGAATTTCATCCTTGTTTACAGCTCACCCAATAAAAGTAAACAGAAAACACAAGTGGAGGTCATGGCGTTATTTATACGTTGGCTACTTCTTCAAAAACTAAATATTCCATAGGTTTGACATCTTACCTTTTCTTCCACTAGAATTGAAGTGACTAGAACTTGTCACTAATTTCTCTGGTAGACTCGTTTGTTCATTTTGATTCTTATTCAGACTGTAGTTAATTGTTTTATCCAAAGGTAGTGATTCCAAGTGATGACGATATTTGGCTACTACTTTTTCAGCTTTCAATGACGCTTGTTCTTGAAAAGTGGGCAATTTAACTATTTCTGGTAAGGCTATATTGGCGACAGAGATAGCTTTAGACTCAGCCTCTAATTGTGCATACTTATCACGCTTGAAATGATTTGCATAAGCCAACAATTCTGGCTTCAGTTTTGGATGCTAAAATATTAATCAACAGAAGAAAAACACAGAAACTAGAAGTTTATAAAAATCTTCAAGGTTTTAATTTTGTATATTATATTGCGACCTGCTTAAAAAAAAATTCGGGCTACTAAATAGCTTCCATTGTAAATATTACAACAAATTACTTCTTTTGTACTTGTTTTAATCATTCAACTGTCAACTTATCGTAGGATGTACCCTTATGAATCCTAGAAATGCCTCCAACTTATCGTCACACAACTTTACAACAAAAGTGCACAGAAATATCACGGTAGATGACAATGACCTCTCTTGAGTTCAAAACTGCTCATTACATAATTATTATAAGGATAGTTAGCAGGAATTATTCTGGATAAATCACTCTCCACCAGAAAACCTACGGGTGCTTTTCTATTCATCCCCCCGTGCAGCAACATACCCACAAACTGGACGATAAATTAAAAGACAATTGGTCTTTGTGTATTATTGCTAATCATACTGCTATTATTAAGACTAATTAATTGCGATGGTTACTGAGTTTGAAAACACTGTACAAAAAGTAAATTTGTTGGATTTTTACACTGAGAATTCCACACTATATTGAAAATTATCATATGGAATAGAGTAATTGCTGCTGTTGTTAACTATACAATACGTAATTACCTGAAAGTTCGATACATGCAACACACGATCCCTGTCGTATCTGTAATACTTCACAGAAATTTAAGTATCGTTTAACTAAATTAGTGCTCTATTCTTGCTATCGACTTTTAATTGAAAATTACTAACTTTTCACAGTGTTTTAAAATTCCGAAAACGAGAAACAGTCAGATGGATAAATTAGATAGACAGGGTGGATGGTTAGTAAACCTAAGCGATAACTTTCTGCAGATACTCATTTTCATACTAACCACAAGAGTAGGTACAATGTCTTCCAAAAAGAAATGACCATAGTGGTCCATGGGTACAGATATTAGTATGCGGTAAGCTATTCTTTGACTATAAATACACTGAAGCTTTATTGGAAAAACAGCAAGAGAACTATAGACAGTGTGATCATTTGATAACATTAATGGATATACTAAACCACATTAAAGCAAACGGAATAAATAAAGATTGTATTTTCGCACACAAATATCAGATTTGTGCAGAAAAATGGTACGAATTAGTTTTAAACCGTCTGCTCTCCTATTCATGTCTTAAACCACTTAAGGGGACACTTTTTACGGGCATGTGTATGCAAAGCAATGAGTTACATATGTTGTGCTTTTATTCAGCGAATTAGGTAGAGCGGTTTCCATCCCATAAACCAATGGATAAGTTAAGATCAGAATAGTGACTCATATGATCTTAACTGTTTTCTAGTACTTCCAAATCCCAACTTTACTGACTTCAAATACCGCACCTTCTACAAACTGAAGATTCATTTCTAAAGGAAGTTGAAGGTGCACATTTTTACCCAGCAGCAAACTAGAGGTGTAACATTTTCTTATTTTCCTTGATTTTAAGCAGCGCTCCAATCTACTGTGCCGATGATTCACATAGATGTTTATTAGGACTTTTGAAATACTTTGACAAAATATCAGTACAACATGACCATCAAGAAATGCATCACAAAAAGAAGCAAAATCCAAAACCCCATATATATTTGTGTCATAAGCTGTGAGGTACAACTTATGTGCTAGGTGCTCATAATTTTATCCGGTTGCACTAGTCGAAGAAGGTAAACTGAGCTTTAATCCGTGACCCAATGTTTGATAGTCCAATGTCGATACGAAACATGCTACAGCTTCGTTTACAGCGAGATAGTCAGAAGATAGAATATATCGGGTTTCCTCAGTCACAAATATGTATATTCTCATGATGTTTCTCGCGAAATAACTTGAAATACTTTGACAAAACAATCTCAAAACGACGATCAATATAGTAACTTAGCTCTTAGTGATATTGCTACATCAAAGAAGGAATTCGATTCACTTACTGAATGTCTAAATTCACACCCGAACAGTAAGTAGTACGATACACTACAGATGAGCCAATCCCACTGCCACTGATCTTCTCTAAGCAAAAATTCAGTCTAATAACTCATCGTCAGACAGTAACTGGAAGAATGCACTGGTCAACACTAAAACCATAATTTGTTAAGCACAGCTTCTTATTAGCTGATTCCAATCAGCACCATATCAACACACACATACGTGTACCACTTTTTTCTAATGGACAGCTTTAATTCAAAAACATAAAATTAGGGTTATCATTTTGACTATCTACGATAGCCATGGTTTGGTAGACTAGCATTGATACCGAGTGATGACTGAAGGCGAAATGAAAATTTGGACTGCTGCGGGATTCGAATAAGAGACGACCGGGTAAAACAACAGACCGAAAACCTGGTAGTCTGTGGTTCAAATCCCGCAGCGGTTCAAATTTTCACTTCACCTTCAATCATTACCCAGCATAAAATTAAGGTACAGAACTGTAAATTTACGCGAAAGCGATAAAACACAAAATCTGTTACCATATTCAGTTTTTCCAAGCTTTGATTAAGCAGAGTATCAAGTTTGGCCAAATTCTCCTTGATAGATGGCATTTGTTGAATCGCTTCAGATGGATCTGTAGTACGTAGGTGTTCATATCTTTTGATAAAATGATTTCGATCATGTTCAATAACTTGGATTAAATGTCTTAGGGTCTCAAACAGTGTGAAATTCTGTGAGTGAGAAGTAATTTGAAAATGGAAATCAGTCTCGTTTGGATACTTTGGAACTTATGAATAAATATATTACGATATCACATTAAAATTGTTGTTCTTCAGCGATATATAGAGAAGGCATGTGTAAATAACATTATTCTAAAGAACCTCTGAAAATTTAGTAGGTCAACAGGTATCAATACGAAGGACTTCATCATTAACCGTTTGGTTGATAACGACAAGCAGAAAATTATAGTTAGCTAAATGAAAAATCATCCATACAGAGATCGAAAAACTATCAATTTAGTACGCATAGTATTCCCTATCCCATTACCAGGTAACTCATGAAAGTGCTGACCTTGAATCGTCATTTTATACCACTAAACTGGCATGGCAGTCGAAACTCCTGAAGCTTATTACATATGAAAGGTAGAAAATCAGGTAAGCTTACCGCCTGCAACTTGTCAATACCATCGTTTTTTATCATATCAAAAGTAGACGCACAGACATGAAAAACCTCATACAAAAAGTTAAACGCCCAGCAATAGTGCTGAAAGAGGTTACGAAAAAAGGTAGAGGAAGGTATTAAAATGAGGAAGAACAATATCCAATAGGTGAAAAATTCCATGCTATGTTTATATCATAGAGCACACGAATTTCCCGAACAGCAGCTAGGTTCCTAATCCATCACACTTCCGATGCATAACACAAAAATCAAATCCTGTCTAAATATCTTCCTCTACGTACACCGATTCCAATAGACACGGTTAAAACACCCGAAGAACACGTCCAGACTGTCTGTTATCAAATAAATTTGCCAGATCACAGAAAAATCTAACCTGCATTCACAACGAGATAGAAAGACTCAAACGCAAACTCATAAAGATATTAAACTGCTGAGACTATGAATTCCTAGTTCAATCGTCCAATAAAGCGAGATTAGTTGCTTACCAGAAATCTAAAAATGTTAGAATAAAAAGATTTTACAAGTTAATGGAAGAAAAATTTCCCTCTGAAAAGAATGAAATTTCGAATGAAACAATATCGAACATCGATAGATTAAAGTGGGTGACCAATCTTTTGTCGAGAGCATTTACCTTATGTGAAACAGAAGGACTGGAGAAACAACAGAATGAAGCTATTTCTGGTTGAGTCTAAGTGGTTCAATTTAATGCCAAAATTCAACAATCCCAGTAGGATATTAAGGTTCAGAAACTAAGTAATCTTGCTAGACAGGTAGATGACTTCAAAAGTAACCCCAACATGTGAACTGTTGAGATAATTAGCCAGAATACCACGTTCTAGTAGAAACCATTTATTTTCTAGACTAATCAACTCTCATAAAGTAGAACTAAGACTAGATGATCTGCTTATAGAAGCCGATAAGATAATGATTATTGTTGGTGTAATAAGCTTCTATGCTAATATCCGAGCAATATGGCCTTGAAATCAGTCAAAAAAGAGCTTTGCATAGATTCCGAACCCACTCATAGAATTAGAGTACTCGTTGAAGACATCATATAACAGATAAAGTCATCTCTGAGCTTTACAATCCTTTCCATTTTGAAAAGAATAAATGTACAAGAGGAAAAGGAAGCAATGGAATCACTAATATCCCTGATCGTAGCAAACATTTATCGATAGATAGGAGCGCATTGTCTTCGGGAAAATTAATCCTATCTCCAAAGCATCGTGGAGATATGTGGATCGACATAATTACCGTAGTGAAATCAGAACATTTCTCGCGCTTTTTCATTCATTTACACTTACAAGTAGACGCAACCTACGAGTTAAAAAATGAACAAGAGGAATCAGCTCTGTTGGATTGTAAAAACAGTGTTTTGGATACAATGATGAAGAGAACAACGCACTTTAATACTTTTTTAGATTTCAGGTCAGCTCATCAAAAATCAGTTATAGCAGGTTTAACGAAATGTCCAAGTAATCGAGCTAGAAATCTGATTAATGAGTCAGAGAAACCAAATAAGAAACTGGTACAGATGAAGGAAATTACTACTTAGTAGGTAGTTTTGATTCAGAAATTACTAAGAATTTGTAAGAAATAATACTAGTATGAATGGTAACTGTGAGTGGTAACAAACGAAAATGGAATTCCAGGTTTCTATAGTGTTAATATACATTAAAGAAATATTAGAAACGCTTCGTAGAATTCTTAACAAGGCAGGAACTATGAAGACATCTAAATCTATAAACTCGCTTAAAGATCCCACTAACCAAATTAAAGTAAACAATTTAATGTACCAAATACCATGCGATGACTGTGAAGCCAAGTATATAGATCAAACGAACTAACATAGGTCAATTAGGTTGGCAGACCACAAAAAACTAGCTAGATTTAGAGTGAGACTCGAAAAGGGAAGAAACTCAACTAATGCATAGTGGCTAAAAATAAACAATAGAGTGAGACAGAGCAACGGCCCTAAAGGTTAATATAGTTAGACGAAGAGAGGGAGAGGGATTGACGACCAAATCTCTATTCATTGAATCAAAAACCTGAGGTGGAAGAGAAATGATGCAATACCTATTCTAGATATACTGAGAAACATATCACCAATAAAACTAACGAAACCAAAAAAACTAGATATTCGAAGTTGTGTTACTATCTTGATAAGATTATGAGCAATAAACTGAACTCAAAACACGATCTAGTAAACGATAATGACTTAGTGCACTAAATTAGCAAACTGGATTGCGATATTATTAGCCATAAAACTCTTACATCAAATAAACTCATTGAATATGCAATTAAATTTCACCAAAGCGCTGAAACAAGGTGATAAACAAACAGAATATTAAGATCTTAACTAATACATGCAAAATAAATCCATTTTTGTTATTTCAGATAAATAGATAAATATGGAAGGTGCATATTTTGCCTTCATTCTACACAATTATGTTGATGAACAGGTAAAATTACATGTTCAGTTGCCACTAATCTCATTGTCTGCAAACGATTTCTGACACAATTTCTAAGTTATTTGCTATAATATGCTAACCTCTTAGTCTCCTCCTTACACAAACACATATACTGTGACACAAAAATGAGTGACTAGGATATGGCAGTTACTACACTCACGTTTTATTTTCCTACATCATGTAATTTCTACTACACAAAAGTACTAGTCAGTACATATCTAAAAACTTCGTAAATGACATAACAAAGTATACTCTACATACGACAGTATTTCATCGTCAATTGAGACAATAATCTTGCCAAGTTTTTATAAAGTAATCAATGCATAACGGATTATTTCCCAAGCAACGAATTTGGGATATTCCAAGAACAGGTTGTAGTAGGAGCGATTGATAGTTGACAAAATAACCAATACACAAATAACGTGTTCATCATATGACAGTGAACGATACTGTCTGACTGTCTGTTCTAGTGGGAATACGTGAATTACATTCGAAACAACAAATTCAACAGTGAGTATCGTATGTATAGACAGCTGAGCTGTAATTTGCAGAAGTAGATAATTAATTTGTCCAGTTTGATCTTCAGTTCATTAGCTAATCCAATTTTATGAGGCTCAAGTGTAGTAAATCAAAATCATTATTGATCGACGAAAATTGTGTCCTCTTAATTTATTTGTCGTTACGTATCACTCACTCAATCATGCACAAAAGTGAAATCTGCAACAACTGCATATCACTTCGAATTTTCACATTAGCTCAATCAGAAATCGATGGTAGAGAATACGAGAAAATGAAAATAATGATATCATAAGTAGTAAATAAAGTAGCAAACAAAAAAAACCAGAAGTAGAGAATAATGAATAATAAGATTACCGAAATCGCATTAAAAATGAGATTTTATTGCATAAATGTATGTAATCCGGAAAAAGAAATTATGAAGTAAGGGTCATACAATTTAAAAAATAGTCTCGGCTAAAGACCTACGTTGGGATTTTCGATGTTTAGAGCTCTTGCCCAAGCATCAACTATTGCTGTTCTACGTTCACGCATCTGGGTTTCTATCCTCTGTTGATGAACCACTTCGAGAGATTTTCGATTTCGTTCTGATTCATTTTCTAGACCAACAAATTTGGTGCGAAACTCCTATGAAATTTGAAACAGAGAATATAAAAAACCAACAAAATAAAAGCCACTAAAATATTAATCTGCCTTGAAAACCCATTCATCGAAAGTTACGAAAAGAAATGAATAATTCAACATTCAAATGCTCAATTTGTGTCTGACGAAGCAGTACATAGGTTTTTCTCAATTACTTTCTTTTACTTTTAACTACGCTCACAACTACCGTTCGTTCACTGAAAAGTCGTTCAACTTCAGGTTCAGAAGGGAAATTAAACGACTGGGATACAAAAGGTGGAGGTGGTTTCAACAGGATAATCGGCATCTGCAAAGATATCGGCACATTGCTTAACTGAGGCTAAAGTGGGTTGGTTCAAGTAAAAGAACGATTTCTTCGCTTCACATAATTGCAACTATAGTGGTAAGAATTTCGAACTACGGAGCCAAATCGAAAGTATCGTCTGACATCTATTATGGGAGAGATAAGGGAAAATCAACACGATATTGTTTTTTTAGCAATTAAGACCTTTCAAGCTTTAGAAAGCCTAGGAGTGTCAACTGTTTGCAGAGCTCTAGTATCAGACAAGTCTCTTCTGATTATACAGTCCCTTTTGTCATCACCTAATCTTCCTTCATCTTCCCTTGCTATTAACTTCAGTCTTCAAATGCTTTTATCTGGGCAACCGAGTCAACAACTTGGGTTCACGAAACACTAATGACAATCTTTTAAATTGCATTTAAATGCCATTATTGGTGCTTTGAATGTTCGCAGCTTATGTCTGACCAGACAAATATCTCACCAGCTAACATTCGAGAATCTGAGGACATGTACATAGGACTCAATCGCAGTCAGTTATTCGCTTAACACCACCAACTAAGTACGCTGAGTTTACAGAACTTACTGCTTGAGTATCTGCAGGTTAAACAACTACTTTCCGTGACATTAAGGGGTAAGGTAAGGAACCTATGAGTGTAATCATATCTTACAGCGTTCATAACCAATGCTGATTACTACTAACTTCTAACAAAACTTGTTACAGATATGATCATAGATGTCATCCGCTGTTCTTTTTACTCTTCTCGGAATGGCAGCCTAATTAGAGATCGTTCAAGTCAAGGGATATAATACTATTATTATAAGCATAAGGGAACAGAGTGCAGTCCACTAAACAACATAAGTGAAAAATTGAGAATCTCATAAACGTATCTGCCGCCCTCAGATGCGAGCTGTTGTTTTAGGACTGGCCTACAGCGATAACGACCGAAAAAGTTAACAACTTTACCCACTGCACTCATTTGATAAGTAATTTCCACTCTGAAGGGTTGGAGACTGAAGCCAACACCAACCCTTCAGTAGTTGTTTTCCAATTCAAAGCATTTTTATTGCATCAATAATTGGGTCTAGCTCATAACTTTGAGGACAGTCCTGTTTTAGCCTCCCGACCGATACCTGCTACCTCGACGTGGTGGTCGAGCTTGCATATCACTATGACCCAGCGAGCTATGCTGGTGGAACGCTTGTTCCCTCGAGGTCCTACTATACCAGAAACGTCTGTTGGATAGTGGTAAGACGAAAAGCAGCTGCCATTGTGGTGTGAATTGCTACACTATGGTGGGGGTCTGAGGGCGAAGTCGTACTGCTGCTAGCTGGATGGGGTGTGACAGCAGTAAGGTGTTTCCCTTGGATGACCAGCAGTGCCATGCTGTTGCTGCCTTCTCAGTGGAAGGGGGATAGGGGTTAGAAAAGGTCGGCCCCAAAAATAACACACTCCACCATGCTCCACGGTCTGCCCGTGTTGGTTCATTTGTCGTTTCCTTTCGACCATGCGGCCCCAAAAATACAAAAGTTCAAAATAATCATACTCAAAAGGCTTCGCGTGACAGGCCTCAAGCAGATGTTCGATGGGCTCTGTGGTCACACAAATCTCTTTCAGGTACCTTAAGATGATGATGATGATGCTATATGCCTACAAAATACGGCCGTCGCGAATCGCAAATAAGCAACGATCACTCTGATATGGCTATGAGCAATAAATTGTGCTCAAAGCGTCATCAAGTAAATAACACTGTTTCGCTGAATGCTACATACAATAAAAAACAAAACTAATATGGTAAAGACCAAATGACTTTGGAATACTGATGCGAAGTAAAATATGTTTAACGCGATTTTTTTCGTTTTTGACAACAGAGACCAACTTAGTTATTACTGAGACTAGTCCAAATTCTTGCATAAGTGAAAAACGTGGACCGAGTCCGTTAATAAACAGAATATAAGCTTCATGATACCTATTTCTAGAATGGTAGTATGATTAAAGACATTGTGTGAAGACCATCAACCGTCAATCCCACACAATACGCAACTTTCTGATGAATATAAATTGTTTAAAAACGATTCGGTATCAAAGTAGTACGCACAGGTTTTTAAGACGTGAAGCAAATGAGTTACTTAAGTCACATGAGATTCTAAAAGGTTTTAAAAACGTGGATTATGCTAAAACCCTACGAATGAACTTGACAAACCATTGGCGCAGAAAATGAATTTACTCCTCACTTGAATTAAACTGTCCTCTGCAATCTGGCTCTTTATGGGGTTGTTCCGCCAATCCTGGGCCGAAATCAAAGATTCTGCATCGGAAAACTCTTGCTTCAAAACTTTTTCTCGTCTACGCAAATCATTAGAAACTGCCAACTTGGCTTGACTGTAACGTTCACGCTCAGGTATTAATAAACCTGAGGATGATTTCTGACTTGAAAATGACAGATAATCTGCAAGCGTTTTGTCACCATCTATAACATTCTCTACAGAACTTGTTTTTGCGTCCAAGCCATGAATTTCATGTGAAAATGAGTTGTTTCCATCCACTGTGATAAAAAGACATTTAAATACAGGTATATTGAAACGTATAACTATGGACTGTCATAAATGAAAATATTAAAATTCTTTCGCTGATTAGATTTAATGAATTGTCTAAAACAACTAGTTCCCCTTGTGAATTTTTAAAAAACAATAAGAGACGCAACTTGCTCGAATTTTGTAGTCTGTTTATGAACACATTTCGAAACGTCTAACCACACACGTGCTTGTCTACGATACTATTACGAAATATAATTTGAGAATTTTAAGGAATGAGAAAACAAGAAATATCAAATCAGAAGGTTAAACAGAAAGCCAAGATAAAAAGGAAAGTGAAAAAATAAAAACAATAGTGAGTTACTGATGGATTTGAAGATAAGTTTACATGTGTGTAACCACACGTACATTTAAACTGCCACATGCAATCGGGTGCGACATCTTTAACATCTAAATGTTAGGAGGATAATCACCTTGTCTTGACTTAAGCTGCAGAATGTCTTTCTAATGATAGCATTAAGTATCTGTACACGCATAAAGTCATCATAGTCACCCTTGTATCCAAGCCTAAAAATAATTACTGCTTTAGCACACACTGCAATGCAGGTCTGGGTTCCTTGATGACTTTCGAACAATGGGTGACTCTTCGCACATGATTATTCTCGAGCATAGTTTCGATCATCAACTTTCTTGATTCAAAATGTGTATTGTTTTCCTTCGCATATAAATATCTAGGAAAAGTACGAATGTAGTTATATTGTTTGTAATGTGTTGCGCAGACAAGTTGTCTTATTTGCCTTGCTACATTTTAGAAACCTCGTCATCATTTAAGTAGACGTGGCTCCGGACCACATATGAAACACCTACTAGACATAAGTTGACCCTCAGACTGATAAAAATAAATTAACCCCCAGCAGATACGTGACTGAAAGATAATGCATATAGAGTTACCAAACAGAAATTATCAGTAACATTTTACTTCCCGAAAACAGCTCGTTTCCATAATGTATAACGAATCTAAAGCCTGGGGTTACCTTAATCTTCAAATGATAACAAGGGCTCCTGACGATTTTAAAAGTAAGGAGAACACAATTTGTTAGAACTATCCATATACTGCGACTAAATTAATTCCTATCAAATAAGATAGCCGATTCGTATATTTAACTGTAAAAGTTCATTCCCAACGATGACTACATGGGATTTTACAAGATACAAACCGGTTCAAATTTACCAAGGAAAGACATTTATAAGTAATTCCGTTTAACATGGTTAACAAGCTAAGAAACGAAAACGCATCATACTGTATGATGGAATCAACTTGGTTAAGGAATCTAAATCATTTCCAATTTCCTCATTATACATTCCTAGCAATATAACTGGAAAGAAAAAGGTTTTCGAAGATTTCGACAATAGCGACGGGTTAAGTGGTTACAAAATATGCAGATGGTAACCAAAAGTTTTATCCTTAACTTCTAAAACTACTTATCAAAAAAGCATTACTCTTTGCATCTGGAACGCATGCTAATGGAAATACTTGGGTTTCCACAATGCTTATCAGTGAAAACGTAATCAAAGAAAAAACTGGTAAGATTTTCTAAAGGAGGATCACTCTCAATAACCCTTGCATTTGCAATCTTTTGCAACCGCTAATTCATAAGAAAGCGAATTAGAACACACATTATCCGACAGATTTCTCACTGTTTAAATCAAAGAAAGCTCCCGAAGGGTAAGAGGACTATGGGATACTCGGACATAAAGTACTTAACAACTCACTTACCTCATTATTACTCTATGGGTGCATAAAGGATGAGAGAACTAATCCTAACAAAGTCTACAAAAGTTAAGTGGGACTGCGTAATAACGTAACCATAAAAATCACGAACATGGTTACTCAGGATAAAACAATGTGTACCAATTAAACATTACCTGTCAAGTATTTTCTAAACGCATTAAATTTGAGCCTGGTATGAATTTAACATAAACCAAGAAAGCTACGGACATCGAAATGGTAAAACTACTTTTTACACAGCAAGCTGTCGTATGCACCTGTAAATACCTACGGTTACGAAATAGCATCCGAAAGAAAAACATAACTTGGGAAAACTAGATTAGTCTTGCACGAAATAGTCCGATTCGCCGCTACAAGACTTAAAACAAAGTAACTTATTACCAAAGTGAAATCAGCAAGTGAACATTGCTCCTACTAGTCAAAAAGGCGACAAAACTTTTTGTACCATCTCAAGAAAACAGGACACATCAAATGGACTCACCTGAAGATCTTAAGTTAGAATTTAAGCAACACACAAATTTAGCTGCCGTGAAATGAAGAGAAGTAAAATCTCCTTGTTTGATGCATGGCTTGAGCGGTAAGTAGCTTTGAAACCTCATGCTACGTTTCAAACAAGCTTCCTGTGCATAATTCTCCCAAAAGTTATAGTCCTTGCAGACGAAACTTCGATCATCATCTAAATTATTCAGTTCACAGCCGTTGGGAACATATAATGTGGACATGGGAACTGTGTCTATAAAACAAGAGTTAAGAAGCCAAGACTAGAACAAACCAAGACATATAAAAGGCTTGATTTCGTATACTCTTCCTCTGGAACCTTGACACTTTTCCAGGCTTCCACGAGTAAGCTCACACCAGTCTGATAAAACGACATCAACAGGAGGTGCAGAAACTACTGAGGTGATGTTCACTCCACTGTATACTCTTTTGCAGTAATTCAAGATTGACAGCTCGTCTTCAAGACAATCCTGAGTAAAATCAATCACCCAAAATTCGTTATTCAGATAAACTGCTGGTTTGCCACACTCAAAGGCAACTGAATATAATGACAACGATTGTGTAATGCATTTAAGAAACACAAATATCCAAAGGGCAGGCAGCATCCCAGTGGACAATAAACATTAGGTTTTGTCGTGGCAATAATTCATTGGGATCCACTATATATTCCTTTGTTGAACTCAACAGAATGATAGAACCGCGTAAGTTTCAATAAAACAAGAGTAACCTAAATTTTAAAAGCGCATAATTTACGTTGGATACAGTAAATACGATAACTTCGAACTGAGGGATGTCCCACTTCACAAAATGCAATGGAACTAATAAACACAAATTAACATCACTTGGGAAACAAACGAAACAACCGCTCAATCAGACAAGTTAAATTGGCCGCTGAAAGAATTCATGTAAACTACCGACATGACAAAACAAGCTGATAGACACAAACAGTTCCTCTGTTTCTGATGTGAACTAAAACGTAAAGCACCAGTGTCCGGAGTCTTCTCTAAGTTGTCTTTGATTCGCTTTCTGTTTTTCCAAAGTACAAGCATATCCTAAGAAAAGCAAAAACGTTTGCCTAGAAGAAACGATGTCATTACATGGTGAACTTATTCATTATATGCTTATGTGCGACCCAGCTCTCACTGTTTATTTATCTCCCTCTTACGACCCCTTATGCTCACTTGATCTTTTTCTCAGATTTCGACGTGGTGAAAAGGTAGTTATTGTAAGAAAATTCACGGGTGTCATGTTTATCAGCCTAACTAATCAGAATGTCCGACCTGCCTTTAAAAACTAACGTATTTTCTGGAACGTAAGAAATTACATGAGTCTAAATTGAAGGCTGGTCCCCCGATATGCGTATTATGGTAAGTTTGTCTTTCAAAACACCATTATTATTTGATTATATTTGTAATAATCGTATCTCAACACGGAGTAAGAATCAAAAGATCTGTCATCCTACAGAATCTGGACAGAATTTGGTTAGAAGACGATGATGAGCGTCCACATTAACCTACTGCTCCATTTTTAGCGACAAAATTTACGGAATTAGCAGTCTATTTTATCGAAGAAACCAGTAACATCAAGCTGATCGTTTTCTGTCTTCGAAAACATGGTTAAGCATTCAGTCACAGCAAGAAAGAGCAGGTGTCCGCCCTCGAAGCCATCTCCACTGCATCTGATTATAATATGGTCTCAAATCAAGCACTTAAAAGACAGATTTCTCGAAAAACAATAGTTCTTGCTGGCTATTAAGGCGTTCACTTAAACTAAGTGAATGCAGTTCGCTGGTTGCTCTATACTTTAGAGGATAGTGCCACGATGTCGACTGACGCTATATGAAATCAAGCAGATTGAGGTAGATAAACATGCAAGGTGTAGAGTGTGTCAGAAATGAGGTGTTTGCCAAGCAAAACATGCGTCCTGTATTTCACTGCTAGCCATGCCCAAGCCAGTTATAACAAAAAACATTCAGGCAGCGTCGAGGCATCCGCATAGGAGCCTGTGTACCAACATACGTCATTCAGTTCGATCTAGTATGCCAACTGCAATTACGGGCGTGGCTACACGGAAAGTGCCATTTTATTTCAGTGGCCGAGTAGATGAGGCCTTGGCGTCTGAAACGATAGGTATGAGACTGAGGTCCGAACGAGAAATAATTTTTCACGTGCCACAACTTTTCTCTGGCCTTTCTGTTGCTATCCTAATTTTCATCGGCGTCTCCCGGTGTAGGATATTTTGAAGTATGAGACTCCCCACAGGCTGATCAAACCGAGTGGACATCCATATATGTATCCATATTCCTGTTGCAGTTTGTTTTCACCAACTATTCTTTGCCGAGTAGGGGTTCAAAAATGCGGTTAGCCCGATGCTGAAGAAATCGATTTCCTAAAATATGCCATGTAGTAGCTATGGGGTATCAGACCTAACTTAAGGAAACACGCATCACTTTTAATCGGCTCATCTTTTAAGGCATCGCTTCAGTCTCAATCACCGCTCCCCCGGTTGAGCATCTTGTCAACATCATTTTACATCAGTCTTTTTCATTTTGAGTCTACCCCACTAAATTCTCCCTTGCCGCCGTATCGGCGGTGATGGTACTGCTCCTTTGGAACTTACAAGCACCAGACTCCTACTTCTTAATATTCCTAGTTTTACTCCAGAAGCTTCTCACCTATAGTTTGTTGGGTGAGAAAGCGATTTCGTTAAAAACAGAAACATTTCGCAAAATATTAAGCCGCATCATCCTGGAGAGACTAAAGGATGCGCTGGATTCAAAACTACGACCGTCACAAGCTGGCTGGCTGGATTCAGGAAGTACAAATCATATGCGGACCAAGTTGCAACGCTCCGCATCATGACAGGACAGAGCATAGAATGACAGTCAACCCTCTACCTCAGCTTCATCGACTTTGAGAAGGCTTTTGACAGCGTCGGCCGACAAGTAATTTGGCAGTTGCTCCGACACTACAGAATACCACAAACCCTTATTAATCTTCCTCAACAACCGTACGAAGACGCCATATGCCAAGTAATTCACAATGGGAAGCTCAGTGATGCCTTTGAAGTGAAGTGAAGATAGGAGTAAAACAGGGCTATCTACTATCACCCATGATATTCCTGGTTGTGGTGGACTGTATCATGCAACAAACAGTGAGGAGAGAGGAGAGGGGGATACGCTGGCTGGGCCGGGGAAAAGAACCCAGAAGATTTAGATTTCGCCGAAGACTTATACTTAATGCCCAATGTAAAGAAGCTATCGCTCAACACAAGTCCAGAAGAAAGCGGAGGTGGATTGGGCATGCACTGAGAAGACCGACTGGGGACCTCAAGCATTTGAGCATGTTTTTCGATGGTGTGAGAACCTGATGATTTGACCCGGCCGGGGTTTCGATTGTGCGGGGACTGTTGTGTCTGTGCACCACCTGCCCACCAGCCTACCAACCCACAGCTGGCCAAGTAAACAGAAAAATTTGACATTACTGGGTGTTTACTGAAACAGTATGCTTTTACTTTTTACTGGATGCAAGGTACAAGTGTTCAAGACGAGTTTCCGTACAGAGGCTTTTAGCGCGACAGCCGTCCGTGAAAGTGCGGACGAAATCGAAACCATGTGTGACATCACTTGCGCGACACAGGAATGTTTGTGGTACATTTCAAAGACCAAAAGTCATACACAAATTCAAATAGTCCGTTGGGTGTTGTAATGGCTGTTTTCGGGATATCTTCTGCTTCTTTAGGTATCTGTTTTATGCCTCAGTTTTGTCGATCATATAAAATACGTTCAGTCTGCCCAAAGTAGCAGTTTGGTCGCAGACATTAGGTATCAGGTATCCTGACGGCATCATTTCAGCGTTGAGCCACCGTATATCACGGGTCGGATGCCAACAGTTGGTTTCTCTGCGGGGACCATATGTAATAACGACACTTGAAGACTGTTCGGCGGTTTGATAATGCCTAATTCGAGCGCGTGATAGGGCTCGATTTTTTCTGTTCTCAGCTTATCAGTGTCTAGACGATGTTCTTTGAATGTCACAGGTGGACGTGCTTTTGTGATATGTTGCATAGTATTGCTGGTTATGAACTGAGGGTTAAGTATCAGTTATCTCAGCTCCAGCCACTTGTCCAGTACTATTTGACAGGAAGAGTAGACTGAGCGTTTTGTTCTAACTGTGGCTGAGCCCGGACCTACCTAGGCAATTTTTTAATGGGTAACTTCATGTTTTTATCTGTCAGCCTTCGTCGACGGGCATCAGCAGGTACGTGGTAGTGGCTTAGTAAATTTTTAATGATGAGCCCGGAAGCATCATGAGTCGTTCGAGCTGTAGAATGTTCATCTCCTGCTAACTATCCCGTCTTCACGTTCATTTTTATTATTTATCCAATTCAGCGGACCTAATTTTAGAACCGCTAGCGTCTAGACCACGAGTGACTTTAAAGGCCACCTTAGCAACTCTTTGTTTTACCAATTACGTTTCTCTCCCTTGTGAAAAATTATCGTCCTATGTTGAATGCAGAAACCTGGTCGGTCACTCAGGCATTTGCAAGGGTTGCTATAGCAACCACTCCAGGCCACTGGTGTTCAGAAACGAATGCCTAACACGATATTGGAAGCTAATCGACATAGATATACAAACTGAAGACATTAGCACTAAAGACATAGCACACTTGATTCAGTTTCCCTGGTGTGCTACTTCTTTATATGCTCGTTAACAAGGTATTACAGAAGATAACACACATAGTACTAAGATTCGAGCAATGTGCAGTCATCAGGATTTATCTTCCCACCACAAAAGTCATTGTTCTTCTCTCTAAAATAAGCTTGATCTGTTTCCTACAAATTACTTGGTTTCCTTCGTTGTATTATTACTGCTATTAACTGATGCCAACCCCAATGGTTATGTTACCAACTGTGCCCACATTCGCCATACTTATAATATTCAGCCATTCAATCGTTTTTAGAAGTCGAATAGTTGTCTAAGTGGAAAGATGCATTAGGTGAAGCAAAACATAAAAAAACCGTCTTTTCTAATAAGTATATCGTACGACACGGATAGAGCTGGTTCACAAAAGGAGGCACGCCGCGTATTTCAGACACTTGCATTCTTTTCGGAGCGGTTGAATGAAGTCCCTTGCCACTATACCATTTTTGTTATGGAGGAAACGACTCTGTATTTAACAATCCAAGGATTTTAGGTGCCTGCCGGAACTCAAATGGATACTATGGAAATATAGAATTATTTTTCCATCTAGCTGGGCCTCTTAGTCTTCGCCAAGATCTGACTGAACCCCATATAAATGATATACGGCATATTAACCAGAAAAACTTAACAGTTTCTTTCCGGCAGCCATGAGACATCCAGCCATCAATAAATTACAAAATCTGCGGCGAACTTGTAAAACTTTCTAAACAGTCAAAATCCACCACCGAAATCAGCTGCTTTAAGGTAAGTTTCTCATTTTTATAGCTTGATTTGAGTTCATGCATGTGGGTAGGAATGAATTACCTAGTTGCAATGGTTTCAGTAATTTACTCATTTGCATAGGTAGACTTGCTCACAGGTTAATAGCTGTTGCATTGCAAAGTATTAAATGTAGAACTGCTGCCAAGGTGTTGGTGAGTAGCTGCATACTGAAGTTCATGTTCTTTCAGTCATCACGAGTGACCTGGAAGCAAGATTTGAAAAATTCCTGTTTCAGCTACTTATTAAATTATTTGGCACGGGACAAATAATTACAGCAGTGCAGCATTGCATTTGTAACGGCATGGTTAAGTGCTTACATAGGTATCACTGATGAAGACTTACTGCTTCTTCGAATGAGAATAACTGGTTTACCAAATTGACATTGGTCTTACCTAGGATTCAGTTAACATTGAAAGAGAACGTCAGATTCTGTTTATC